TGTGTGCATGTGCTACTCCTGAGAGGCTCTCCTCATTAAGCAGCGAGGCGACAGGAGTGCAGAGTGTGTGTTTTCACACACGGCTGCACCAGTACGACGAGAGCCACGTTTTTTTGTTTTTTTTTTGCCTCCTTTCCTTCTTCCCCCTTTATGCCTCTTCACCCTCCTCTTCCTCTTCTTCTCTCTCTTTCTCTTTTTCTCTTTCCCCTCTGTCTCAATTATTCTTGAAATCCTTCCAATGCTTCCACCTTTTTCTCTTTGTCCTCCATCTTCATACCTCCTCATCATCCTCACCCCGTCCCCACATGTAAACCTGCACAGTGGAGTGTTTGCAGCCTTCGGTAACTCTGAGGAACAGATACACTGGAAACAAAAACATTCACACTCAACTGTCACTTGTTATTCTTGTTGATTCCCATCTAAACATCAGCCTTTATTAACCAACTTTTTATTTGTGTGATGCTGGTAACCATGGCAACGTGTTCCTTTGTTAGTGGCTGAGCTTACCTGTGTCTACACAACAGAAATGAATATAACGGAATTTAAAAGAAGCATAATAAATCACTTCAATCAGTTCAAGTAAATGTCAAATGTTAAATATGCTTTAATATGCAACAACTGAAGAAGCAGGCAGAGAGATATAAAAATGAAAACAGACTGGGAAAAGTTGAAAAAAATTGTCAAATGTGGGCAGAAGAGAAAGTGAGAAAAGTCAACAGGTAGGTCTGTTTGTGTGTGATTGTGTGTGTGTGTGTGTGTGTGTGTGTGTGTGGAGGCAGCTGTAATTCCTTCAGATGAAAGTGCTAAATTGATGAGGCTTCCACTACAGCTGGCCACAGGAAGAGCTTATCAACCAGCCAGAACTGGACTATGGTAATGGTTCCAAGCCAGAGTATTGGAGGAAGACAGAGCAGGGTAAAGGAGGAGGTAGAAAATGGTCTGAGGGGCAGAGAGAAAGGGAGACTGTGAGGGAAGAAAATGATGGAGAGAACCAGCATGAGAATAAGGCCATAAAACATCTTAATTTTTGTTGTTCCACATTTTTGTAGGTATCTTATAGCAAAGCATTTAAAGTGATGCAGTGGTGCAAAGATCTGAGAGAGTAAAGTGAAAAACATATAATCAAATAATATAAGTATTATTTAAATATAAATACTGTAGCTTTTGTGGTTTCATTCTTTTTCCTCTGCTCTTTAGCTGTTCTGTTTTTTTTGTCACATAGAAAACCATCCCATTAAAACGTTGCATATTTATGGTGTTTTTGTGGTGCATTAAAATAATAATAATACATTCATAAGAAATAATAACAGAATAAAAACAAATTAATTCTGTTCAAAGTGAGAAGAAAGACTTCATGTGAAAAAGGAACAGGGCAAGAGGGGGCTCAGAGAGAGAAATAACAAACGCAAGGTAATGAAAGAACAGCATGGAGGAGGAAAGGAGAGGAAATGAGACAGGTTATAAGCATAGAGGGAGGAAGGATGGGGAAGGGTAGGTGTTGGAGGGGGTGAGGAGCATTTGAGGATTCATCTCTTGCTGGATAATTCCCAGGAGGATCTCTCTCCAACACTTGAAAGCTGTGAAGTGTGCGGTTCTGCTCATACTCCTCCTGGTAATTGGAAGAGGAGAGAAGGGGAGGGAGGGAGAGGAGAGGAGTGTCAGGTAAAAGAGGGAGATACAGAGGTAAAAAAAAAGAAGAAGAGAAGAGGAGAAGAGGCGGGTGTTTAAACCAGATAAAGATTTGGAGACAGAGACAGGAGGAGAGGTAGAGGGGGTTCTGAGTAAAAGAAAGACCCACCTTACTTGTGCCATCTTTCTTTTTTCAGCCACTCACTCTTGCCCCAACCTAACATACAGTATATCTCTTTTATTTTTGCTCATTAGCTCACTCTCCTTTATTCTCTCTCTCTCTGTCCACATCCCTCCTTCCCTCCCTTTGCCGACGGTGGCGTGTCTGTGGTTGCAGGCGGCTTCTGAAACATGGCCGCAGGCATTTTATCATTGATGGAGTTTTTTCCTCCATGCAGGCAGACCAGCGGGCAGCCCCGACTCACTCTTATGCATCAGGACCTGCTGATTCACTCTCTGGGGCATCCAAGCACATATACACACACACACACAAACACACACAGGCATGAATACAAAGGCACAGATGCACACACACACACACATAACTGTAGCACACAGACATAGATAAAACACAGCCTGAAAGTGTTTCATTTGTTCATATGTGTGTGAGTGTGTGTGTGTGGTTATCCACATGTGTGGCTCTCTAGTTTTTACCACCAGGGATTGTGAGGCCCAATCAGCAGCAGTGAGCCAAAATAAAAGCAGCAAAGATAAAAGCAATTTGTTTGACCAGGACAAGAAGACAAAAACATGTTTGCACTGGCTCCAGGGCCTGAACACCACATATGCCTCTACAGCTTTATATGTCCTTCTGCTAGACTCTGTAAACATCTGGCTCTGTTAGTTTCTTAGAAAGTAAATACACTTATGAAGCTTCTGTATTTGGTTTGGATGGATCTCAAATTGATTGCCATGAAATTTGGTTCAGATATTCCTGTTCTCCCCAAGATGAAATAAAAGATCCATCATCTATATCACTTATTCTGAAGAAGAGGGGTAGTACAAGAGGCAGGGTACACCCTGGACAAGTCACTAGTCTATCACAGGGTTGACACTTAGTGACAGACAACCACACATAAGGCTGGAGTACCCGGAGGAAACCGATGGAGCCACAGGGAGAACATGTTAACTCTGACATCACTAAGCACTGTTCCACTTTGCCTGCTGAAGAATAACGTCTTTGGCGAAACTTCAACTTTCATCAAGCAGCATCATCAAGTCAAACTTTTAATTTGTATAATATATTGTTTTATGACCAGACACCCAACAGTCCCATCTGTACTATTTTTAGTGTATAATTAGCAAATGTTAGCATTCTAAATAAAAATCAAGTGGGTGGTACCATTATAAAATATATCCCAAGTTAAAGCCAGCACTCTATAAACTGCCACTTAAAATATTTTATAGGAAACTTAATTGTTACCACCATTCAGAGATATCATTTACGTAGTATGGAAAGTTATAAAGAGTATGTGGATTTGTGTCTTATTAGACTGGCAACCTCCTTCTTTGAGTCACTTTGTTAAACTTAAGGACAGTAGATCCAAAATGACACGGGCAGCTTCAAGAGGAGACTGTATAGATTATTTTGAAACAATACACTTTATAATTAATAAACTTATCCTACATATAATAAAGTAGTAGTTTATAGTGAGCAGCAAATTCAGATTATCAATATTTTGTGAGTGCCACAAGTGGAATTTTCGCATTTATAAAATATGATGCTCTGCATAATAAAAAAGAAGTATTAATGGCATGCACACCACTTTTTTTCTTCTATTGTCAAAAGTGTGATACACTGGATAGTTCAAAATAAAATAGAGTAGAGTGCACTATCTTACACACTAAATACAGTAGGTAGTGAGACATTAGAGCTGATCCCGAGCTACAGCTCTTTCCACCACCTTGTTATTCATCACTGTATAAAGTCCTGTATAGTTACATTCCCGCAGCATACTGTAAACGACAACCTCTTGCTTATAATTTTTGGTCAATGTAACCCTGTTGAATTCTGCAGCAGTAGGTACAGATTATCATTTCCCTCCCCTCCTGTGTTCTGTCTGTCTGTTTCTCATCCTGATCAGAGAGTTTCTTTTTATTATTTTATTTCTCAGCGGATTAAAGCCAGACCCTGTGGAGTAGAAACTCAATTCGCCTCCCCAACTCACTCTCACTCACTCACTCATTCGCCCTCTTTTTGATCAAATTCACCCTCTCCTCACCCCCACCACCACCACCACCAAACAAGACTCCACCCTACTCTACCCTGATATGAGCCGACTAATGACCTATCTCTGTCCCTCATGTGAACACACACCATCAGTATCACTTACAGCACTGTCTGCCTGAGTGTATGCTTATCTTTCTGTCTCTCTGCCAGATGAATGGTTTTCTCTGTGTGCTTATATGTATATGTGTGAGAGTCAGTGAAAGTCACTCTATTGTATTCACTGTGGCTCCGTCCTGCCTCGTGAGTCACTATAGGATCTGTCCAGGGCATTACAGTATGTCTTAGAGAAGCAAGCGCACATACAAAATACAGTAGCCTGCAGTGGTTATGTGATTGCTTCCATTAAAGTGATTATGCAATCAACAGCAGTAAAATGGGCAGGAGGGAGACAGGCAGGCAGAACAATAGTCAAACGGACAGAATGATGGGGGGGGTGGAATGCACACATACACACACATATATGCACAGCACTCAAGCAGGCAAAGGGAATTTCTTTCTTGTTAATAATTATTATGAAACGGCTTCATGTGGCGCACTTGCCTCTCCGCTCTCAGTATGACAGCAGGTCGGCCCCAGCACTCTCTCTCACACACACACACACACACACACACACACACCTTTCTCCCAGTTTTCTTAAATTCAACATCTTCCACTCCTGACAATCTTTACCAGAACCCAGGGACTCCCAGTGAATGCACCTCCTTGTCTCCCCCCACTCACTTCCTAGGTGTGCCATGGTTTGGTGAGTCCCAGGCTCCAGCGCAGACCTGCACTGGTGCTTGTTTTTTACTAGGGCAAACAGATGGAAAAAGAGAGAGGGGTTGCCAGAGCGTTGTGCCCACGTGGGCTAGTGTACACTCTAACAACCGGGACTTACACATCTCCTTTCTCCTTTTTTAGTTCAGCATTTTACCTTTAATCACTCTCTGTCAGTACAATACTCTGCTGACAATGTGACGGCAGCCCTGGTGTTTCCCTCTCCATTTCTGTCTTATGATCTAGAGATTGATGCAGCTCCTTCACTTCAGGGCAACATTTCATAAGACTAACTTGAGTTCATCCACTTTTCCCAAGAGTCCAGGTGAGAGCAAGTCGGAATCCTCACTGGCCTTATACGCTTCTTTTGTTTTTCTTCTTCCAGCCAAGAAAGCACCAGACGGTTCAGTGATTGCCAACGGCTACTGCGACTTCTGCCTTGGAGGCTCAAAGAAGACTGGATGTCCTGAAGACCTTATCTCCTGTGCAGACTGTGGACGTTCAGGTAGGGGACCGCTGGACGGGATGAATGGCAGGAGGAAGGCAGTTCTCTGCTGATGCATAATATAAAGCTGTTTCATTTGTTTATTATAGATTTCTTATGTACAACATACATTAATGCAAGTTTTGCTTCCTGTAATGCTTAAAATGGATGGACCATACCAGTGTTTTTTTGTTTTAGCCCATATATAACATCACGTACAGTATACATCCTATTGATAGTCATTTGCTGAAATGTTTTTTGAGGTATTTTCTGTCACCTTCCGGGTAGCCACTGGTTTTCATTTTGTACAGTAGCCTATGTTTGGAAACCAATTTGCAGAGACTTGAAACTGTAGTTATTTTTTAAAACTATGAAAAAATACATACAGTAAAAACATGGATGTTACTAAAGGTTCTCCAAGCAAAGCACATACAGTACTGAAGTACACAAAGTTAAGAAGTGAGATAAGGAGATGATGCTAACTCACTAATATCAGCTAAAAAGTTAGCATCACTTCACACTATCGAATTTTTCATTCTTCAAACACACCTTTATTTCTGCTGAGAGGTGTGAAAGTGGCATAAATTTAAATTCACTTTACAACCTTATTTTGAAAGCATCCAACGCACTGTAAGAAAGTGCTACCCTATACAGTACAGTATAATGCATTTATTTTGAATCACAGCACTTGAAACATAGTTGGCAATACAATTTAAGATTTTGAAGGTTTTTTTAAAATGTCAAGAATATGACATAGCTGTATGTGGTGCTCAGTTAATGCAATAAATATGGTGACACCTGCTCTGCAATATGCCAGGTAACTACTGCTTGTCAGGAATGAACTTTAATGCTCAGTCTGGCATTTATTTTTATTTAATGTGGTCATGTCCATTGATCACAGTGTTGTCAAACAGAGACATTTCTTGACATTAAATATTAATGGACTAAAAAATGTTATCCTGGTTTTAACTTTCTTGTCTGGTAAAAAAAATTGTTGTCATTCAGTCTACTTTTTAATTGAGATATTATTGTCTATTTGTTCTTCTGAGACAGTGCCCAATGTGTTACAATGAACCTGAGGTTGTGAGAGAATGATAGTATGTACAAGATTATGATTGATTGGAGTAGAATTTAAAGTGCCCATGGCATGGTCATTTTTCTCATTTCCAGCTATTTAATGTTCAATCTTGGTACCTCTAGATTAGCTTTGCAAACATCATAAGAGTCTGTAATATTTCAGAATGATAAAACCCAAGAGCCTCCTCCTGAAAATGACTATGCGCATGCACAACTCCTGTGTCTGTTGTTGTGTTGAAATTTCCCTATCAAGATGTGTTTCCCCTAACCTGAATCCTAACATTATGCTAACCACAACCACTGAGGGGGGCGCTACATGAAACTGAGTTTTGAACAGCTGAAACACATCTTGACAGGGGGACACTTTTTGACACAAGACCGGTCAGGAATCCAGGATATGAAAGTGGCCAGCTGCTTGTAGGTTAGAGCTGGTCAGGTAAAACAGCGTGTCCCTATACATGAACATTCCCAGACATGCAGTAACCTCAGGCCCTGAATTTTTCTCCACATCCTCTTGTCACAGTGCAACAGCAGGAAGGAAAGTATATCCACAATACAGGGCACAGTCAAAAAATCCCACTTTTACAATGGCACCGGTGGATGGCAGGCAAGATCACATGAATGCACAACTACCTGGAGATAATGACCATTCAAGGAAATCCTTAAACTATTGCGTAAAACTTTACATAGCTGGAAAAAACATCTTGCCAGTGAGAGTTCATGAGACTTGTATAAACCAAGCTGCTTCTGCATAGAAGTACAACAACATACTGTAGGTACACCAAATTTTTTGAGCTTTCAGTCACATTTAAGATGATAATTCATCACTGTAACATTGTAGATAAGTCAGAAAACACGGAAAAGCATGCCATGAGCTCTTTAAGTATGTTTTTTTAATATGGTTGTATTATTGTTTTGTTTATTCTGGCTATATGTACATACAGAGATTGTAGTATATATAGAACAGATTTTGTGTACTTATCACTTGATTGCATGTACTGTATTATAAATATATATATTTTCCCCATATTTCTTCTGGAAATAAAAAAGAGAACCAAAAAGATGTATGTGATTTCTAGTGAATGGGCTAAAGCATCCAAAACATTGGTATGGTCCTGTTCTTTATAACCACTCACATACAGCTATTTATAAGAAAAATGAAAGTTACTGAAATAAGGATGATATAATAGTCCAGTTGTTGTGATTATGTAACAAGTTCCAGGAAAAATTAATAGGTTAAGAAGAGAGATACATTATTTTTTAAATGGCATAGAAGTAAACTACAGTGGAAACGGGCAGTGTATTTTCCTGTTAGATTTGCAAAATTGTTTATTGTCTGTTTTTGAAATTCCAACATTTTCTGTAGTCTTCAAAACAAAGTCCAAAGCAAACTTATAGTGATATTTCTTGGCATTTCTCAAAGACAATATATTTCTTTACTGCTGCTAAACACTTTGCTAAATGCTATAACCACATTCTTAAAATGCTATCAAAACATGTTTTTAGATATCACTATCAAGATATCAAGTAATGTTATGTTCACACCTGCAAAACGCCACTGTTGAATTCCCCTTCTAGTATAAATAAATCACCTATGAAGCAAACAAAATGATAGAAGAGGTGGATGATAGATGACTGTCCTCAAAATATATAAAGCCATGCTGAAAAACATTGTGTGTACGTGTGTGTGTGTGTGTGTGTATGTGTGCACCCAGGCCACCCATCCTGTCTGCAGTTCACAGTGAACATGACGGCTGCAGTGAGGACTTATCGCTGGCAGTGCATCGAGTGCAAGTCCTGCAGCCTGTGTGGCACCTCTGAGAATGACGTAGGATCTCACTTTATACTACATGTTAGCTCTGCACACATGTGGCTGCACACACAAACACACACATACATACTGCATATAAATACTATAGTTTATATTTAACAATTTAACCTCTTACTTAGTCTAGTTAGTCTTGTTGAGCAGGTTCAGTGCCTTGATATCGAACTATGTAAAAATCCACTGAGCTGCTCACATACTTGCATGAGTGTTTGTTCCCCTGTGACTGAAGGATGGTTTCCAACCACTGGGCTTTGTTGTTGCTCAGTTAGTCTCACTGGGATGAAAAAGATGTATATCAACCTGGAATAAATACAGTTTTGTTCCTTCCTGAAGTGCAAGCAGGTGTATTTACGCTGTAATGCTTAAAATGAACTCACAGTGCAGGTTGTTATAGTTTTTTGTGCAAACAGAACAAATGACCTTTTTTTAAGAAAAGTTACAGATTCTCATTTTTTTTATTGTTCACCAAATGTAAAGTTTCACATGGTTGACACTATGTGAAATTGATAATTAGATTCTCATTTTAAAAATAACCAAGGAACGTGAACCCTAAATTCTTGATTTATATTCATACAAATCTGTCCTCACATACATTAATACATGTTTTTAAGTGAATATTCTCTTCTGTTCCAGGACCAGCTGTTGTTCTGTGATGATTGTGACAGAGGTTACCACATGTACTGTCTGAGCCCTCCCATGTCTGAACCACCAGAGGGTATGTAAAGACACTAGTATAATAGCCTGGAGATGCTGTGCACCAGGAGATTTTGAGTGTTGAAATATGCATTTGGTCAGACTGCACAGCCCAGATTTGAGAACATTTTTGTTTTTAGTACAAAATTATGTAACTGTCTGTTCTGTAGGTGGGGAGACAATCACAGTGAGAAGAGTGAAACCTCAGGTCAAAACAGTCAAACTATCCCTGTGTTGATAGTTAAGTGGTGAACAAATAACAAAAATTTAACCCGTCACTGACTAATCATCTCTTTGCTGGAACATATTAATCTCTGCAAATAAACTGGGCTGAAAGAGTCTTGACTTGTGTCTGTAATCACAGAAATGGAGCAGGTACATCTGTGCAAATCAAACAGCCATTTGCCTGCTACCCGTAAGATGGCTGCCTTAGGATGTTTGATGGCATTGTCATGGAAATAGGTAGCAGAAAAGATAATCTGTTTCCATGGCAAAAGTGTCACTTGGCTAAACATACTTTACAGTAACAGTGCCACTTGTGTTCAACACTCACTAACAATGTCATGTTCTGCCTACACATGCAATGCTTTTGATTTACAAGAAACATTTTTCACCAGTAATTAGTTATTTTTGGTTTACACTTTAGAGGAAACCTACCTGAGGTCTTACTTGGATGATAAACCTGTATTTTTATGCTGTGCTTAATACTCACACAAGACCTTCAGGAACATTACAGCAGGGTTAACATTTGTTGCATTTTCACATCCATCTCATGTAGATGTTTAATTAATGTCACAAATCCCTTGACAAAATCCAAACCAAACTAGTTGTCAAATCCCCGGCATCTACATGCCACAGACACATACAGCAGCATGTAATGTTTCAACATGGAGCTTTAATTTACACTGTTGCTTAATGCTCTGTCTGAAATAAGGGATTAATCCACAAAGCTTTACAATAGGAGTGATTGAACTTCCAATCTGTGATGTGCTGTGTGTGCATGTTGTGCAGGGAGCTGGAGCTGTCATCTGTGTCTGAGACAACTGAAGGAGAAGGCCTCAGCCTACATCACCCTGACTTAATCTGTGGAGCTGCGCCTCATCCTCTCCCACACCACCTCTCTGTCCCCCCTCCTCCTCTGATCTACTTGCCGTCACATCCTCTACAATCTGTTCCTGTGACCTTTGACATGACTGAGCACACAGCACCCCCAGCGCCGCACCCATTCTTGAACGTCTCTCCAGCGGCGAGCCAACCTCCGTCCTTTTGTGTCGCTCACGTTCCCTGCTGTGCTTGACCTAACCCCCCTATTTCCTGCTCGGTCTCAGCAGAGGAATTCATCAGCTAGCAATAAGTTTGCTAGTGAGACACACACTCCAGCCTGCTAAGGGCACTTCAGAGGCATGCTACTCCACAGAAACCCTCTTAAGGGCCCTTGGAAGGGCCCTAATGATCTTCAGCTGCAACTCAGTCAAGTAGTGAGTGAGAATTAATAAGATGGATAGGTATTAGGCTGAGGACAGGGCTTGGAAGACACTGGAAAACCATGGAGCAGTATGTTTCAGTGTTAGCCAACTGTGAAATATACAAAGAACCAAAATTTAATTTACTCCCTCTGTATGGCAGAACAGAGACACTGAACTCTGCACCATTATTTGCCTGCAGGGTTCACTGACCTGTGCAGTTATAAAGTGGGAGTGAATTGTACAGAATTCAGACAGATTCTCTATCTACATACCCCCTTCACTGGCAAACAATGACCTCACCTTCTCCTCTCTCCATGCATGGGGTTTCCACAAACTAAAGATGCATTTTAGGATTGACGCTGAAGGTTTTAGTTTTGAATGTCATCCTTGGATGAGAGGAGAGATGGATTTTTCTTTAATCAGCTATCTCTGATCAAACAATGTATTTTAAAAAAGTGACAATTTAGGCTTAGCATCTTTCTCACAAATCCCCTGTCTGACCTTTATTTGCCCTTGTCTTCTGTGAAACACTGACTGTGAAGCCAATGCGAGACTGACACGCTCCTGGTGCTTGGTGTATAAGGTTTGTGCGATAAGAATGTAGAATTGATGTGTGGACAATGCAGATCTTTATCTGGCCCATGCAGAGGCCAAATAACTCCTTTTTTATGGTTTCTTTTTTAATTTTTTCATTTGCATGTTCTTATTTCAATTGTTTTTAAATACTATGAATTGAAATTGAAAGCACACTTAATTCGCAATAATGTGTTTGTGATATGAACTATTTTGGCCAAACTGGGTGTGTTTTAAACTCCGTGTGTGCCTGTGTGTCTGTGTGAGTTTATCTGAGCACTACAGTAACTGTAGCCAGCTCCATTCTAGAGGAGTTGAGTAGCAGGAAGGTTATTTAAATGTACTGTACGGAGAGTCAGCATTTTCTTGTTCAGGCGTTCTGACAGTGGTGGGACAATGTTGTTGTTTTGCAAGTCTTAAGTCTTGGCACTTAAGTTCTAAGTGGTCTGGCTATGAATTCATTGCACAAAAACAGTTAAAGGAATAGTTAGACATTCTTGTAAAAACTTACAGACACCAAAATGATTAAATTAAACAAATGAAACGTGTTAATTGGTAAGCTGTTGAGGTGCTGGTAGGTGGATTTTTTTTAGCTTTAGGCTGAGCTTCTCTATGCTAAATTAACAATTATCAAACAAAAATTAGTTTTCTTATCTAAGTCTTTGCAATATAGCAAAAAAGCCTATTTTCCAAAATGCAAAACTATACCAGAATGTCAAAACAAAGGGATTCAAGTCCTCAAAGGTTAAGTTCTCCTCAGAAAATTTAAAGTGCCCATGGCATGCTCATTTTTAGCCATTTAATCTTGGGTACCTCTACATTCGCTTTGCAAACATCATAACTTCAAATACCCTGTAATTATTTCAGAACGATAAAACCCGAGAGCCTCCTCCTTAAAATGAGAGGATAGTTCATGGATGCGCACAACTCTTGTTGCCAGTGTTGTGTCAAAACCTGCTTACCCATTGAGATGTGTTTCCCCTAACCTGAATCCTAACATCATCCTAACCACAACCACCGAGGGGGGTGCCACATGAAACTAAGTTTTGAACAGGGGAAACACATCTCAACAGGAAAACACTTCTCGACACAAGACTGGTCAGGAACCCAGTACAACGCATAAACAAAAAAACACTGACAAATAAGCTACATTTTCAACAATGACAATACCTCAAATGTCTGAGGCAGAATATGAAAGTGGACAGCACGATGAACCACAACAGCATTAATAAATATGAATTTCTCCTCCATATATCAACCAATGAAACCAGAACACTCTAGACAAAGTGGGTAATTGAGAAACCCCATATTTTAACTGGCATAATGCAGCCATAGTAACTTCTGCAGCCTTAAAACAAATTTCTACAGAAACAACCCATTAACAAGCATGCAATGTGTGTGGGTTTTTTAACTTACCGGTACCAACCTTCAACACATCACATGCAGCAGACACACAAGTAGTCAAAACAAACAGGTACTGTTGATGAGCTGATCATCCACCACCGTGGGGGGCTTCACTGGCTGGCCGCTTGTAGGTTAGACCCAGTCAGGTAAAACAACGAGTCCCTGTACATGAACATTCCCAGACATGCAGTAACCTCAGGCCCTGTATTTATTTGCACATCCACTGGTCACAGTGCAGCAGCAGGAGGGAAAGTATATCCACAAAACCATATGCAGTCAAAAAAATGCTGCTTTTACAATGACACCGGTGGATGGCAGGCAAGATCACATGAATGCACAACTGCCTGGAGATAATGACCATTCAAGAAAATCTTTAAACTATTGCATAAAACTTTACATAGCTGGAAAAAACATCTTGCCAGTGAGAGTTCATGAGACTTGTATAAACTAAGCTGCTTCTGCATAGAAGTACAACAACATAGGTACACCTTTTTTGAGCTTTCAGTCACATTTAAAATGATAAGTCATTGTTGTAACATTGTAGATAAGTAAAACATGGAAAAGCATGCAATGGGCACTTTAGGCCCATTTAAAATCATTAACTGCATAGCAATATTTGCATTTTATTTATTCCTAGCAAGGTCTGTGTGAGGACCTTCTTATCTCACAATCTCAGATTCTACTACATTTATGATACTAAACCTTGGATAAATATCACCACAACACAATGACTGTGTCAAGAGTTGTTGATTTTGTGTTTGCACAAAAGTTTTTGTTTCTAGCTTAAAGCGATACTCCACTCAAAATGTGACTTTTTAGGATCAAATATGCCTCAAAAAGTGGTTTTTAACAGACGCCAAACCACTTCTCCACCGTATTTTTATATGATCTGAACAGTCAAGTATTAGCAATGCTTCTGTTTGATACTTGCTAATGTGTCTGATCAAGTGACATATAGAAGCATTAGCTTTAGCAATGTCATTTTTGATCTTTGGGCTTGGTGAGAGTACCAAGTTGAAAATCTCTAGTGTCTAAATATGCTTTTCTACTACAGGAACTTAATATGTTACCTAGAGCTTGACAGAGGACAGAGGTGGCTGGTTTTATTTTGCTTTTCCATTGTATTTTACATGTTGGTAAGGATAGGGTGTACGTTAAAACACCTGGGGCCACATCATTAAAAAGGTAACAACAGGACAGACAAATTATTTTTAAAGTCCTTGTCAATATACACACAGAAGCAAAACAGTGGTTGCTGCTATGCTGTTGTTTTTGCTGTAGTTGAGATGGAAAGACACTTCTGTATGACCAGTCACGAGCAGCAACTACTTCACCAATCAAGGACACCCTGCAAGCACCACCAACTCCCCCTTGCAAGTACCTAGAACTTAATTTAATACTACCTCCTGAATGGTACTGAAATTAGGCTTCCTGGACCCTGTTTCCCAAGCGGACATTGTTAACAAAATTAAAAGTCAGTAAGTTTTCAGAGTGGAAAAAGTCAAATGACAAATTGCCAGCTGTATTGTGAAAGTGATACACTGATAGGAGATACCTGTTACCTACCAGTCTGCTCTGTATATTAGAAGCCAGCAAATCAGCACTCATAGACCAAGCTCAAATCTTAAGGCTGAATTTTTCATAAAGGAACTAGCCACTTAGCCAGCATGTATTTTTGTTAGTTTGCGTTGAGATTTTTTTTTTAATCTTTTACTCAAAAGTCTCTTTATGTTATCCTCAACCAGTGTAGCTGGACTTCTCAAGGCAACTTTAATGGGCACCAGATAGCTGTGCAATTGCTGATTTATAAGGATCTTTTAGCATTACTGATTGTTTAGTTAGTAAGCTATAGGGAAGGGATCTATCCAATGAGCTTTGAGCTTTAAGCTTGGAGACAATAGCTGTAAATAGGGGGTTAAAGGTCGGGTTGGCGATTCTTTTTAGAAACATTTTTGGTTACATATCTTGAAATTCGCTTTTCATCCCAATGGTAATGAATACATTAAATGCACTGACAACATAAAGAAAAAAATCCATTATCTGTGGCAACAGCAGGGCTGAAAAAAGCCTGACCAGTCATTTTACTTGTCCCAACCAAAACCACTGGATGGCCTACCTGCCTGTTACCCTACTTCCTACATGCGTGCACTCTGCATGTGCACTCAATGTGGGAGCCAAGTGTCTTTAACAAGGTGTTGCAGTTTCAGGTAGATGTGTTATGCCTCTGTATTGATAGGTAAAGCTAGAGAGCTCTGACAAAGAAGTTACCCACAGCAGCTTTCATTCGCAAATGGAAACCTTTGTCACAAGCCAGACCTTTCCCTTTAAGACTTATAGCCTTATAAGTAATGCTGATGTTATTGCCAGAAGTTGCTACCTGTATTTAGTGTGAGCAGTATGAGAGTGAGAAGACTGCCACACAGAACAGACTCATTTTAAATGCTGCCACAAGTTGGGAAAATACCAGCAGCAGTCAGCTCTAAATGTATAGATAGGATTGTAATGCATTTAGCTTGGCATCAAAAGCCACATGCAGTGTTCATGTTACCAAGAAGGAATAAAGTCTGTGTTTGAATGGAGCTAGCTGGCCAGAAAAGTCCGAACTTCTAAGATCAAGATTAAAGATTTTTATTGCCAATTCACTATATGTGCAGGACATACAGAAAATCAAATACCATTTCTCCCTCACCTAGTATTGAATGCCATAGCATTTAGGAAACTAAAATAGAATAAAAGTAGAGTAAAAATAAAACAAAAAGAGAATAAGAAAACTAAAACAAAGTGATTAGGATAAAGCTAAACGGTACAACCTAATTGGCTACTCTAAGGCTAGTTACTGGCTACAAGCCAGGGCTAAAGCAGTTTAGCCATGAACCAGAGGTCCCACAATACAGTTCGGGGCTGTAGATCTTGGCAGGTAACACTGTATTCATGGAAGTTACAGCTAAAAAGATGTTGAATGCTGCAAGAAGTAAAACAAATTAACACTGGTGTGGCTTTTGAATGATGGCGACAACTCAGAAAACAAAAGCGGCTGAAAATTGGTGGCATGGTGGCCGTTTTTATGCTGGACAGGTAATTATCACTTTTGTTTTGTTTGGAAGGGACTTTGTTATTTTCCTGAAATCTCTTAAGTAGTAGTCAGGCAGTGCAGTTGCAGTACACGTTGTGTTTTGGAGGAGTGGCTTTGCAGAGAAGTCAGAACAAAAGGGTGAGATTTCAAAATCACGCTTCCTCTTGCTGGTTTTTCCAGGATTGCCAACCCTACCTTTAAATTAAGGGCAACCAATTGCCTTTTTATACAGTATTCTTGTGTACATATCAAAGTATGAAACAGGTCTGATTCAGTTGGTTTTGGTTTGAATGACCATCTCTATTGAATGCTGCATCATGTCTCTAAACAGACACTCACAGGATCAGATGGCTTGTGAGAATATACCTGAACTGTAACTGTTTGCCATTTGATAAGAAAGACACTAGGTGCAAATACTGTGCTATCCCTCAATTCAGTGTAACTCCAGTGATGCATGAATGACACCTGAAACATTTCTGATTTAATATTTTGACATCATCAGTGTCGATTTTTAAAAAATCACAATGAAAAATAGCCTTTAATTTTAGTTCATTTCTTGCTTGTTTTCCTTGTTTGGTTTGTGATCTGTATTTTTTTTTCACATTTTGCACAGTGTGGTTGCATTTGCTCTCAGAGTGTGTTTATGCCTCTAAGTGTATGTTTGTTTGTATGTATGTGTGTGTGTGTGTGTGTGTGTATAATCACCTGTAATTATTGGAAGGTCAGAGAGCAATCTGAACTAAAATAGTGAATTATTATTATTCTGCAGACATTTTGTTCTCACAGCACTGCTAGAGGTTTTTAATGTCGAGTACACCAAGAGTATACTTGAGTGCACACATTTTACACAAGGCACTTGGATGAGGAAATATGCCATTTCTTTCATTAATGTTAAATCTGTAATATTTGCCAACAAACCAGTTGTATCCAATCAAAAATGCTTATTTCCATCAATCAATCAGAGCTAACATCTAGGTTTAAAGTGTGAGTGAAAGTCATGTGGATGGTGAGGATGATAATGCTGACGGTGACTGAAAAACCTATATGTTGGGAGCTTTCCTGGCACTTAATAGGAGAAGCATGGTGGAGTCAAATTAATTTTGATTGTACTCTGGGGAGGTAGGGGAAGTCATGTTGGGGGGTTGGAAGGGTGGGTTTCAGTGTGATTATTTAATGAGCCTTCCCTTTGTACAAATGGACAGACCAAGGCGTATGAACATGGGGGTCGAAGTGAGGTTGTGGAGAGGATGTCAACAAAAGCTAGACCGGGAACCTTTGGGTCTCAAGCTGACACCATCTCCTGTCATTTTAGGCTACTGGGGAGGCTAAATCAGAAGGTTGAGACATTCTTGGTCTCTCTTGTAAATTGTTGTTCTGTGATCTTGCTTGCACTTTTTTTCATTTCCCAAAAATAAGAAACTAATTGTAAGTATGTACTGT